AGTACCCACATGGCAGCTAACAACTGTCCCTAACTCCAGTTCCAGGGGATCTGACAGCCTCTTCTGTCCTTTGTGGTCACTGCACGACACAGGTGCACTTACCTACGTAAATAAATAAATAAATAAATAAATAAATAAATAAAATATTTTTTTAAAACGTAGGACTGCACCAGCTCCCTCATCTACCAACCCCACCTTCCCTTTGGTCACCTGCTCTCCCTGTCCCACAGACACAGGACACCTTTGGAGGATCTCTTGGTATCCAGGGCTCCCACAATGCTTTTATTTATTGGTTTGCTTATTTACCTATGTATTTACTCTGCACAAATTCTCCCTCGCATAGCTTCTGTGTAGTATTAATGAATTCCCCAGCTCTTCCAGGACTTCTTTGGGACACAGGAGAGACAAGGAAGGGATTTACAATCAGGGGAATAAAAGGTAGTGGCAGGTGCCAAAGGGGAAGGAGGAGGAGGAGGAGGGAGAACAGGCGGAGGACCAGGAAGGTTCAGGGAGGCAAGAGAGCGAGCGAGATGGTGATGCTCTGGAGGTCATGGCAGGATCTGTTCATCAGCACTGGGTGTGTGTGTGTGTGTGTGTGTGTGTGTGTGTGTGTGTGTGGTTTGCTTTTATGGAGGGGACTGCGCCCAGAGCCTCAGGGGAGTTAAGGAAGCACTTTCCCACTGAGCTGCCTTTCCAGCCCTCTTATTCCTTTTCATTTTCAGGCAGCCTCACTGTCTTCCCAAACTTGCTTCAACTCACTCTTTAGTTGAGGCAGCCCTTAAACTTGGGATCCTCTTGCCTCACCCTCCTGAGTAACTGTGATTTCAGACCTACATCACCAGGCCCAACTTTATGAAGGAGACTTAGTAGGGGCATAGGTGGTTCACGAAACCCAAATGTGAGGTCTGTGGGGGTCAGACTTGGCTTTCTGCTTTTCCCCAGCACCTTAAGGAATGTTTGAAAAGGCCATTTTGAAAGTTTATGAAGAAAAGCCTGGAAAAAGAGAAGAAAAGCCAAACTCCAAAAATCCTGGATGGCCTCCACTAAATACATTCTCATCAGATAGCAGGGAATGGTTTCATAAAAAAGGAGCAGGGGGCCAGGTAAGGTAAGCCATGCCTTTAATCCCAGCAACAGGCAGCAAGATGGAGGCCAGCATGGTCTACATAGCAAGTTCCAGGCCAGCTGGGGCTACAGGGAGACCCTGTCTCAAAAAACTGGGAAGGAAAGAAGGGAGGGAGGGAGGGAGAGAGAGAGAGAGAAAGAAAGAAAGAAAGAAAGAAAGAAAGAAAGAAAGAAAGAAAGAAAGAAACACTGACTTTTATAAGCTTGATAACTTACATGGACCAGACATCGATCTTGGGGCCATATTTCTTCCTGGCGAGCAGTTCTGGGGCAGCATAGGCTGGGCTGCCACACTGCGTGCTGAACGGGTCCGCATAACCCAGGATCCCAGCGCAGTTGCTCAAACCAAAGTCTGTAGAGAAGAGAGCACAAACATGGGCTCTGAATTAGAAAATTACAGAAATAAGAAGGCAAGAAAGAAAGAAAAAAAAAGGCAGCAGGAAAGGAAACATTCTCTCAGGCTAACACATAATCTAGCATCCGACAGGAAACCCACCAGCTGCAAACTATAACCCGTGGTAGACTTCTCAAGACAGAGGCATGTGGAGTTCCGTGTTTAACTGGAATGCTTTACCATCAGCCCTCACTGCACAATCCAGCTAGAGCTAACAGGATGATGAGCCAAAGCCTATTTCCATCAACTCTTGTAAATGAGTCATCTAGGGTAAAGACAGATTTGAAGCTTTCTAGGACTAAGGCAGGAAGGGAGCACATACTGAGTGAGAGTTCAGCTTCCCAGGGGCCAAGCTGGGAAAGGCTCCATGAAGACTGATTTTCTCTGGCTGGCTGTTGATGTAGTCACTGTCCTCGGTGACAAGCAGGACAGCCACTCGCAGCTGACTTTTGCTCAACATTTCATTTCATTAAAGTCTTTTTTAAAAAAATTCCTCCCAAAGGTATGTGGTAAATATGGTGATGCGAAGAGGGAAATAAAAATTCCCACAGTTGAAACAGCCCTGCAAGTTGGCATGCCTACAGGATGGTATGCCAAGTTGACTAAGTGACTTCATGGCTTTGCTTTGTTCTTAGATGTTGAAGGCGACTGGAAGCCGGCAAGCCATGCAGCTACTTTGGATCTATTACCAGTTTTGTGCCGTGTTTACTTTTGATCTTGAAGATACTGCCGCTGAAGGGTAATTAGAGAGCTGTTAGTGTTCTGCCCTCCTCTGCAATCTTTCCTCAATCTCTGTTGATCTCAGAATTAAGATCTAAGATCTTGGGTCATCCTTTGAACTCCAGTGTAAATACTGTGGTCCTTAACTCCCAGACACCAGGCTCCCAAGCCGCAGGGCAAGTTAGTGACTGGCTCCGAGGCTGGACGCAAACCCCATACTTTCTCCTCTGGCACAATCAGCACTAGTTCCGTCTCCTGTCATTACTATATTTCCCTTGGCTCTAGCATGTCTCCACCTGTAAGTGCATGCCTTTAACAAAAGCCACAGGAAAGCTCTGGGAAGGAAAAAGAGCAGTGGAGAGCTGGGAAGGCTTGAATCCACCCACCCAGCATGGCGCAAGGCGACAAGGCTGAAAAGTTTCCTAGTGCTTATCACAGTGAGCCATGTAACCCAACAGCTTTTCTGAAGAGAACCCCATTGGAACCGGACCTCTTTCCGGCTCTGCAGAGCACCAAACCTTCAGCTCAGACCCCTCAGGAAGAATCCGGCCCCTAGTACCTTGTATTGCAGTATCACTGCTGGAGGAGGAAAAGTGAGACACCATCATTACTTAAAGCTGAACAACACTGCTGAAAGGGCCTGCTACAGGAGAGCGCAGAGACAGTGCCACTGACATGACGATGTTACTGGGTGCAACGTTTTAAGGGACGCTGTTGTGTTAGGAGCCCATCTCATAGGAGTCCCCCAAAATGTGTAAATTTCCAAGATTGAAGAGAGCACCCACCTGTTGTTCCTCCCATCAGCAGGGGTCTATAAAACAAAAAGTGGTCTCTCATTCCACTTCCCCCTCTCAACTAGGGCTGGGAAGGGTAAGATAAGAGACCAGATGACCCTCCATTGTCACAGGCACCTTAGGGAACAACAGAGCCTGGGCCTTATCTTAAGCACATTTCAAGAAGATAAATTAGCAGAGGGTTTGGGAAGTGGAAAGGCTCAGAGCCTGCATTTGAAGTCACTCACCTTCATCTAGCCCAAAAGACCTGATTTTAAATATACTGCAGAGAAATAACCCACAGAATGTTTCACATTCATAATTATGGTTATTAAATTTTTACACATATGCTTATAATTAGAATCATGAAACTAGAGAGAAATTTGCCTCCTAGTAATGTCACATAGGTCGGCCTCAATTAGATTTGGTAAATACATAAGCTAATTATCACTCAATTTTCTGAGAGCTGCAAAATGAAATCTCAACGAAATGCCCCAGCGGATATGCACAAGGCTGTGCTCTTACACTTTAAGGGTATACTAAACTCACAAGCATCAGGTTGTGTTTTCAGTTTTCAAGAAGAATTTTTTTTAAATCCTGGTTGAATCAAAGCTTAGGCCTGGCAATTCTAGCTAATTTGAAACACAACTTACGTAAACTAAACCAAATTCTTTCAAAGAAAGAGAAACTATTAAGAAATGATAATAGCTATAATCACCTCTGAAAAACACCTAGGCAGTCCTTTGAAGAAAAGAACTTCAAAGGACTTTCAAGTTAAAATAATAACAATATGGAGACCTTTGATTCATACTCCCCATCCCAGCAGCAAGAAAACTCAGAAGACACTGGGCTTCTTCCCTCCAAACTGAGGGAAGCAAGAAGGAACAGCTCACTGCTTTCTAGGGTGGTGTGACGTTTTCTTCATTTATAGTTTCAGTTGGGATGTTTAGCTTCAGCTGGTCATGAGAGAACCAGAGCTAAGAGAAACATTGTAACTAACAGAAATCCGAGGCCAGAGCCTCCTTTCTAGCAATTTTATGACCTGACTTCTGACACCTGGTCATTTTCCAATAGACTGGGTCTATTTTGTACTAGTAAATTGTGGCCTAAAGCTACCTCTGTACATATTTTAAGTTTGGCCTAAAGGCTGTTTTCTCAGCCTACCTTGATATGTAAAGACTGTAGCCTGCTCTTATAACAAGGAGGTGAGCCTCAGCCACCCACAAGTAGTAGGCTCCCAAAATATGTTCCTATAAGCCATTGCTGAGCTGTAACCAATCTGGTCCTCTGTACCTCACTTCCATTTTCTGTCCTGTTTCCTGTATGTCACTTCCTTTTCTCTAGCTATAAATTCGACATGCCCATGGGGTAGGTCAGGATATTCTACACTATTTATGGTCGGGAATGGTGTCTACTTTAGAATCCCAAATAAAGGCAAATATAGTCTGAAAGAGTTGTGATTTTATCTTTTGCAGTCTTGATGACTTAAGTGCTAATCCAGTACTTGCCAGTGGAGAAATGAAGAACCTGGGGCGATGTGAATGAAGTAGTCTCTGGTCTCTAAAAAGTAACCAGCACCTCACTGAGAGGAGAGCCCAAGGCTCCAGCTAAAACTGCAATCTCTTCCTAGTGCTTGAGTGAGTCCAAGTGATTCTGAGCTACTAACAAAAGCACCTGCTATTTCCAGTGCTTGGTTTCCACGCTGCTGATGTAGCTGGGCTGAGAGAGCACTGGCCTAACATGCCAGTAGTTGGTTCTTCTGAGGAAACGCCTCACTGACAAAGAGGTCTGTCTTTTGCAGCATTGTGTATTCCGTAGGACAGTTTCATAAGTGCTAATGTAAGGCTGCTGTTTGCAGAACAGAGAAGAGGCACAGAGGCAGAAAGGGAGGTAGAAAGTGAAGGAAAGCACAGATCTGGACACCATCCCTGTCGGGACCCACAAACTCTTCACCTGACGTCTACACGACAGAAGGAAATCATAGGATTTTTACTGTCATGCCAATCCAGCCCTTTCCAATCTTGTTATCGCACCTTCTCTACTGTTAATTCTGTCACGGCCACTTCCAAATACATTTTCCAGTGACAAATTACACACCAAGAGGGGGCTCTCCTTTCCTTACCCTGAGATCCCAGGTAGAGAGTGGGACTGAAAGACACTGGGCAGCCTGCAGGCCTTTCAGCTCAGCCTCAGACCCTCCAGCGCCAGCGGGGCCTCGGTTCACTGCTCCTGTATTCAGCCCTCAGGAGAACTGAAGTGCAAAAACAATTTAACAAAAGGAAAATCCTTGGGCTGGTCTAAGAATCTGCTAAAAATAGAGTCTTTAAAAAGCCTTTTTTTTGGGTGGGGGAGATTGGTTTCTTCATTGCTGTTAATTTTCCACTAATGGGTAAATCTATCAACACCTGTCAAGATGCCTAATCACCCAGGCAAAGAGGCTGGAGTCTCTGCAGCCTGGAGCCTGTTACTGATTGAGAATGAGTGTGATTCCAAGATGTCCAATGGGCCTTTTCGAGCCATTGAAGAGGAAGAAATTACTTGCATTTGAAATGGGAAAAGAAAGAAATAGGAGACGGTACTGCCTAATAGCTGGATGTGAAACTGACAGCCGAGAGCAACAAGCACAGGCCAAACAACACTGGCAAAAGCACCTAATTCTGCCAGAAAACAAGTCATGGAGTAATTCACTTCGGATCCTGAATTACGGACCAGAAAGACAACTTATGCTGCTCTGCATCTTCAGGCCAGTGAATCCAGATTCTAGCCATCCCTCTTAGGCACTTGTCTCCACAGCCTTATTCTGCCAGAGTTTGCATGAGATTCTTCAAAGGAGAAGACCAATCTCACTCTTCCATCTCTGGGGCCTCCTCAGCTGCATGGAAGAGCGGGATAACATACAGCAAAGGGGCAGCGTTTCTGAGCCAGACTATTTTCTACCACTAATAAGAAGTTTTTTTGTTAATTTAAATTTTTTAAAAAGCTCTAGAAAAGTTCAGAATCATCTTAATTTAAGTCTACGCTGCAGTGGCCAGAGAGATGGCTGTGTCAGTAAAGTGCTTGCCATGCAAGCATAAGGATCTGAGTTTGAATCTCGAATACCCATAAAAAGCTGCTGCAGTAGCACCTATCTGTAATTTCAGTGTCAGGGTGGGGGAGACAGGAGGATCCCTAATGCTTGATGGCCAGACAGCCTGGCCAAAAAGCAAGCTCTGAGTTCAGTGAGATCCTGTCTCAAGAAATAAGATGGAGAGAAGCTAACCAAGACACCTGATCTTGACCTCGAGCCTCGTCATGCAGATGCACACATGGGCTCATACAGCCACAGCCCTTGTACACACATACACACACACACAGAGGCACACACACAGACATCACCCACATGCACACATGTGCTCATACATCTGCAAGCCCTTGTACACACACACACACGCATACATCACACACACACATACATCACACACACACATCACACAGATGTCCACATGTGCTTGTACATCTGCAAGCCCTTGTACACACATACACATACATCACATAGATGTCCACATGTGCTCATACATCTGCAAGCCCTTGTACACACACACACATATATCACACACACACAGACATACATCACCCACATGCACACATGGGCTCATACAGCCACAGCCCTTGTACACACACACACACACACACACACACAGACATACATCACCCACATGCACACATGTGCTCATACATCTGCAAGCCCTTGTACACACACACACGCATACATCACACACACATACATCACACAGATGTCCACATGTGCTCGTACATCTGCAAGCCCTTGTACACACACACATACATCACACACACATACATCACACAGATGTCCACATGTGCTCATACATCTGCAAGCCCTTGTACATACACACACGCATACATCACACACACATACATAACACAGATGTCCACATGTGCTCATACATCTGCAAGCCCTTGTACACACACACATGCATCACACAGACATACATCACACAGATGCACACCTGTGCTCATATATCCGCAAGTCCTTGTGCACACACATATATCACACACAGATGCACATACATCACACACACTTTCTCTCTCTCTCTCTCTCTCTCTCTCTCTCACACACACACACACACACACACAAAGAAAAGAAGCTGAAGCTTGAATAAGCCAAAAAAAGTGTGACCAACAAATATTTACTTGGGACTATAAAATTCATTTCAAAATCAAATGACGTATTTTTACTTTCCTAATTATTTTGAATTTATTATTTAAATACATTGTTATATTACTCTTAAAATTCATTTTCACCTTCAAAACTATTATTAAATGTTAGAAGTACCAGAGGGGCAATTAGAAGTCTTGTCTGAGGGTCAGATAGAGATCATGGGTAATGTTTAAAGTGAAGAATTGATAACACAACACTTAAAATGTAATCTTACTTTAAAAAAAAAAAAGAAAGCCATACCAATGAGCTTGATATTATTGTCTTCATCAAGTAGCAAATTTTCTATCTTCAAGTCTCTGAAATAAACAAAACCACACATTTCAGATAAGTATTTAAAACAGAATAACATTTCCCTTCTGAAAGAAAACACAGTATTTTAGAGCCACTTCCAACCTACCCAGGAGCCTTTCTGCTAGATCCACTCACTCACTAAGTTAATATCGATAACATGATATAAATAATCGCCATCAGCTATAAAGCTGAAGGATCTCAGAGAATGCAGAAAGCAATGAGGTTGGGATAGATCGTGAGAACTGGCCAGGAATGGGCCTAAACTAGAACCTGGAAGTTAAATGGAACCACAACGCAAAGAAAGAAGGGCATTTCTGACAGGTGCTGCCTGAGACCCAGGGGATTTCAAAGTGCGGGGGCAGCTGTGACACTGTGAGCAAGGTCAATCAGAGCCAGCAATGGATTTGGAAAGCACTTAAAATTGTGCCAGTGACAAGACTTAGCAGGTAAAGGCACTTGCTGCCAACCCTGATGATCTGAGTTTGATGCCCAGAACCCATGTGGTGGAAGGAGAGAATTGACTCCCCTGCAAGTTGTCCTGTGACCTCTACACTTGTGCTGTGGTTCACCCCTCCCCACAACATGCAAGTCAGTGAAAAAAATATTATTTTTTAAAAATTAAAAGCTGATTTAAGTCATCAGTTCCACAGTCTTCATGGGCCTCTATGCTTAAAGTTTGAGTATCATGACATGTTGGCAGGTGATACTATTTTAATCTATTGAGCAGATAGGTGTTACCAAGGTAGAAGGATAGAGTCCACAAGATGTCTACCTCCTCATCATGGCGTTATATCTGAAGATATGTTGACCTGACATGGTGAAAGGGAATTGAGTTTGCAGACTGTTCATCTGACAGTGGATGATGTCATTCACTGACCCTGAGGTACCAGGAGGCAGAAGACACAAAGCACACAGGGTTGTGCTGAGTGGGACATGCCTGTGGCACCCATGCTAGCTGACTGTAAGCTCCCTGAGGGCAGAAAACATGTCTGCCTTTCTCACCTGTACCCTAGCACCTTCGCACATTCCAGGAATTCAGTAACTAACAACCAGTCTAGATTACCAAAAAGATTATTTTGGGGCCTGGGGTTGTGGCACTTGGCTAACATGCACAAAGTCCTGGGTTCAACCCCTAGCACTACAAAACTAATAATAATAAAAAAATAACAATGCAATTAAAACAAAGAGATGCTTCTGGATTTCAGAAGCAAATGTATATTTGTGGAGAAGTATATATGTGTGCAAATGGATATATTTAGGGGCTGGAGAGATGGCTTAGCAGTTAAGAGCAGTGGCTATCTTACAGAGGACCCAAGTTCTGTACCCAGCAACCCAAGTGGCTAACAACCATCTGTAACTCCAGTTCTAGGGGATCTGACACTCCCTTCTGGCCTCCACAAGCATTGTAGAACATGGATGCACATATATACATGAAGGCAAAACACTCAAACACATAAAATAAAACTCAATGGAAACAGTGTTTTAAAGAATATATTTTGGTCATCAGAGCTATCTCAGTCAGTAATTATAAACTATAATTTAAAATTATAAATTATAAATGTAACCTGTCAATTCAAACACACATTGAGTTACAAATATTATGTAACAATATTTTTCCACAACTGTACACACACACACACACACACACACACACACACACACACACACACACCCTCTTCTGTTGGTCCGCTTTAATTTTCCTACATTGGAATGGAGAGATTGGCAAAAGAAAAACTTTTCTTTTTACATTTATTGTCAGAATGGGTTTAATCATGATGAAACAAAGATGGTGGCTGACCCCCAACACCAGCGACTGGAGCAAAGAGCAACAGCAGCTAGATCCGTGGTAAACAGAGCAGGGGTCTCCCATTTAACAGGGGCAGTTGCTCAAAGCTTAGTCCCAGAGGAACCAGAAATCTCTATTTGGTCTCAATTTTCAAACATTGGGAACAAACCCACATTTAAAACAACAATAACATTATGCAGGCCGAACTTTTGAGCAAGATCTGGCCTGCCTGTGACCAATTTTCAACCTCAGTATGGACAGGAAGTGAACCTCTGGGATATGAGATTGTCCAGGGAAAGGGTGGAATATTAGAGGAAAAAATCGAATCAGTGAGCACATCAGACTGTAACGAATGCTTGAGGCATTCAGGCTTGAGGTTCACTCCCCATGCTTGAGGACCACTCCCCAGTGTGCTTGAGGATCACTCCCCAGCCCCACAAGAAAGACCATATGCTAAAACGCTTGCATAATTAATTTTAGAATTACCATCTATATACCCTCATACCTTACATTTCATGAGATAATAGCAAAGCAATTTGTCAAGTCCGGACCAGAGGATTCTCTGAGTCACTGCAGTGCAATCTAGCCCATCCTTAAAACTGGACATCTCAATGCAACACCTTTTCCCTTTTATTCAGTGCTAAGGACAGGGCCTCACACATGCTAAGCAAGCATTCTACCACTGAGCCGCATCACCAGCTAATACTGCTCTTTTCTGTGTCTGTGTATAATAATAGGACCCATTTAAAATCTCTACAAATTAACCACTTGATGAGTGGTTTTCAGTGTTGTCTCCTAGGCTGTCACTGTGTGAGGCTTTGCGTTCAGGGCTTATGATTAAACCAGGTGTCTTCATCTCTTTCTGCCAGATTCTTGGGGTGACTGCTAGAGCCCCCAAAGTCATCAGTGACTCAAATGAAAGTCAATGTATTCTCTAACTAGAATATTGCTGATGAAAATGAAAGCTGAAGTTATGCCCCCACGAAAATAGAGATTTGCAGAGACTCCATAAGAAACATTCTGTTTTCCAAAGATAATTAAGACATTCTCCAAGTCTGACTTCTATTCAAGCACATACGGTACGCCCAACGTGCAGACAAACGCACACAATAGCGTACCAGGAATAACCCAGAGTGTGATTCGGTGAAAACTGACTATATAGCACCAGGACTATTTTGATCAAAAGCAAAGTCACAGTTTGTTTCCAGTGAAATTAAGCCTCCTTGCCTGAGAAAAATGGAAATCATGTTAAGGCAGCAAAGGAGGAAAATGGTTCAGAACAAATATTGTATAGAAAAACAGCTTAAAGTGTTGAGGTAAAAGAAACTGATAATAATAATAAAAACGAAACTGAGCAACTCTGTGGCATGAAAGCCTACAGAGCCACCCCAGCGGTTGGTTAGAACAACCACAGAAAAGGGGAAGTACAGAAATGAACAACTGCAAAGAAGAAAACAGGGAAGGGTTATAAAGCCAGAGGACGAGGCACAGAAACATAATTATTAGGTACAAATGAAAAGAATAAAGTCGTCTCAAAGCCACTGTCTTCCCACTCACTAGAACCCCAGTGGCCAACCCCAGTCATTGGGAAAAATGCACAGAACAAATCTGGCTAGCCCAGGGTTTACCCAGACAGTACCCTTGTCCAGCTTTCTCGGGATCCCAGTGGTAACCAGTCTCACTGCCAGGTGGGCCCCCAATTAGCACCAGGAAGATGAACCCCATTCGGTGCTAAGTAATCTTAACCTGCCCAGGTGGCAGAAGCATTAGACCCTCTTACCATTGCTCCCAGGCCTTGCTTTGTCTTTTGAAATGTTAGAAGGAAAGGAAGAGGGCTTCTTTGATGACTCTTAGGAGAAAGATCTCCAATATCCAAATTTTGGAAGAAGAATATTTATTTATTTATTCATTTTAAGATGAGGTCTGTCTTTGTAACCTAAACTGATCTTGAACTTGTGCTGATCCTGTCACAGCCCCCAAGGACTAGGATTACAAGCATGTACAGCCACTCCTGCTCAATGTTCAATTTTAAACATTTTTATTTTTATTTTAGTGTATGAATTTTTTTGCCTGCATATATGTAAGCACACCCTTGCATGTAATGCCTGCAGGGGTCAGAAGCTGGCATCAGATCCCCTGGAACTGGAGTGACAGACAGTTGTGAGCTGCCACGTCAGTGGCTGGGAACCAAATCAGGGTCCTCTGGAAGAGCAGCCAGTCCTCTTAACTGCTGAGCCATCTCTCCAGCCTGTAATGTCCAATTTTTGAAAGTTGCTTTTACCTACCTACAGTAAGACCTCTATATTCCTGAGTTTTATGTGCTCAGATCCAACCAACCTCATAAAAAGTGATATGGGGGAAGAAAGTCTGCATGTGCAGAATGCTGTTAAACAACACAGTATGACTATTTATACAGTTTTTTCATTGGATTAGGTATCTAAATCTGGAAATGATTTAAAGTCTATGGAAGGATGTACAGAGGTCATATGCAAATGCTAGATATGTCACTTTACAGCAGCAACCTTGGTACTTGTGGATTCTGGTATCCACAGGCAGGTCACCATTCGCCTGAAAATATTGCAGAACAACTGAATTTACCCAGTCAATGAAAAACTATGGACACGAATGTTTGTAGAAGCTTTATTCCTAATTTCTCATCATTCAAAGCAGCCAAGATGTCCTTTCGTAGGTGAATGGCAACTGGAATATTCAGCAATACGCAGAAATGATGCAGGAAGTCAGGAGAAGACACGGAATACCCAGAGAAGCTTCAAGGCAAAAGAAGACGTCTAAAGAGGCTGCACACTGAAAGTCTCCAACTCTAACTGCCTCTCTGAAAGAATCAATGCCACAGAAAGAGAAGATGAGGGACGCCAGAGGTTGGAGCATGGGAGGGAGGAAGGATGAGGGGATTTCTTAGAGAAGTGAAACTGCTCTTTATGACACTGTGTAGGTAGATACAGGACATCATAGATCTGTCAGGACCCATAGAACTGTATGACTGAGTGAGCCCCAGTGTCCACAATACACCTTAGTTAATACCAACGAATGCACATGGTTCACCAACTAAAACAAGGGGCCACAGCCAACCAAGATATGTACGTAAGCAAAGTGTTGTAGGGGAAAAGAAGGTATCTGGGGACTCAATTCTATGCAGTTTTCTACAAATTAAATCTATACGCTTTTTAAAGTAACTTTTATGCCTTTTCTTTTCTAAGA